ATCTCATTAGCTCAATGTGTGGATATTGTTCATTCTATCTCATTCATAGTTGAAGAACAGTGGGAGAGATTTTTTTGAGCATTATAGAATGGTTAGTGTCCGGAAGGATTCAGACAAATGTAAATGTAATGAGGGAAAGAAGGCATTTCACCAGCTGCAGCTGTACACCGCAACTTCTCCCATGGCTGTTAAAACCTGCGCTCCATTCCTTCCACAGCCTCATTAATATATGCTAACTAGATCTCCCGTAATCCTTTAATACCTTATGAGGAAAAAGTGAGCAGATTGGGTCTATACTTGCTGGGAGTTTAGAAAAAAATGAGACGTAATCTTTTATGAAGCATACAAAATTCTGAGGGGACTGCAGAGGGCAGAAAATGTTTCCCCATTATACATCGGGAGGGGTCTAAAATGAAGAAGAATGGTTTCTGAATAAGTGGGCTCCGATTTAGGATGGAAATGAGGAAGATTTGTTTCCACCAGAGGGTCTCTTCCACACAGTTGTGGAGGTAGTGTCAAGCCTGAAAGAGATAAATTCTTGAATCACAGGCTATGTGAAGGTTTACAGGCAGCAAGCCAGAAAGTGGAATTGAATCCAAGATCAGATCAGTCATGATCTTAACTGACCAGATCGAGCCATGAATGTCAGAGAAGGCTCAAAGGATCCTATGGCTACCCCTGTTCCTCATCCTGAAGATTTTAAGGCTGATTTCCGTCATCAGCACAGTCCAGCTACAAACATTGGGCACTGGGGCTCTTCTGGTCCGGTGGTACTGTTGCTACCTCTGAGCCAGGAGGCCTAGGTTCAAGTCCCACCTGCTCCAGAGGTGTGTCATAACATCTCTGAACAGGTTGATTATAAAATAAAATGGTTTAGGGAAAAAAAAACAAACATTGAGCATTAAAGGCCAGTCACATATCAGCTTTTAATATTTGATGAAATATTCCCTCAAAAATGAACTGGTACAAGACTGTAGATTAGTACCACCGCAAGTTAGTAGAGGTATATTTTTCAGAAGTTCTTTGATCTGGATTATATTGCTGGAATCTAATAAATAAAGATGAAAGGGAATGCCAGGACTATCTATCCCTGGGTCTTATCCCTAACACCATGGTTGCGATATCATTGGATTATAATTTGAAAACAGAAGACTGAATTCTGTTAATTTAAGAAACCTGAAGATAAAAGTTGAGTATCAGCAATGGTGGCTATTAAACTACTCAACTGTCATAAAAACCCATCAGATTCATTCATGTATTTTAAGGAAGGAAACCAGGACTGTCTGTACATGACTCCCCACACAGCAATGTGGTTGGCTGGAATGGCCTAACAAATAATTCAGTTTTACTAACTCTCCCAGGATCAGGGAGTGGGAGGGGGCTGGTTTCAAGAAGGCAACTTATCAAATTCTTCTCAATTAGGGCTACCCAGTGCTGACCACATCCTCTGAATAAATGAAACCTAAAACCCTCCTTTATTCATTAACCCCATAAATACAGCTGTCAGCCTCTTGTCCCTCACGCAGAGCCTGTCATCTTTATGCCAAATCAGGCCCTTAAGTGAGTGGGCACTTTGTCAAGTGGAAGACCACTAGGTACACCCCCGGGCTCAGGGAGGCACCGTAGGATACATGGAAGACTCCCTGCTCACCCTCCACCACTGAAAGAGCCACCGCCAGGTAAATGCACCTCTGTCCCCTTACATCACTGCCTTTCCCTGACCTCTTGCCAGGGCCTGCCTGATGGGTCTCAGTAAGACCAAGCTGAATTGTCTTCCCTCTGGGATTTCCTCCATGATGGATGCTCAAAGCAAGCTGCAGTTCCAGCACCAGCCAGCACCCTGGGTGGCACTGTTGGCCCATTGGGCATCAATTCTTGAGTGGGGGTGAACGATCTTGTTCCTTACGGGGATGGAAGCCTGACTACAGACAGTGTGGGTAGTAAAAGAGAGTTGGGGATCTTGTGGCTGCTCACGATGTGGGTGTGGGTGGTGGGGGAGGGATCCTTGGCAATACAGTGGATGAAGCCATCACTATCCAGTTAAACACTTTGTTTCCATTTCATCAACCAATCCATCCTTGTTACTTCATTTCCATCCTTAACTTCAACATCTAGGACCACTGGATTTCCTTTGTCCAACCAATCAGTCACATTTTCAACACCTTCAGGAATTCCATCCTGATTATTCCACTTCAGACCCTTCTGTATTTATCCCAGGCACATCCTTTACAGCAGTAATGCAGGATTGCTGTTAAAAGCCCCATCTTTCAGTGGAACATTAAACTGAGGCCCTCTCTCTGATGGACAGAAGAGATGACATTGTACTATTTTGAAGAAGAGCATCAGATTTCTCCTGCCAAGTGTTTATACCACAAATTAACATCATCAAAATAAATCTGATTATTTGGTTATTATCTCATCACCTTTTTTTGTGGGACCATGATGCTTCCACATTGATTCTCCTGGTTCCTACACTTTGGCAGTGATTACACTCCAATTCCGCTCACAATACGATGTACTGGGATGGTCCCTGAGGTTGCAAAAGGTGCTATATAAATGTAAGGTATTTCTTCTCTTTCTCCCTGATTAACCCATGAACTGGATTCTCGCTAATTTAATCTTTCTGCCCAAATTCCCACACTTCACCACGCCAAGCCTTCCTGACGTCAGATGGATGAAACAGAACACTCTCTCTTACGAGATCTATGCACAAGAATGAATCAAATTATTGCATGCTGTTTATTATTTAACGTGCCTTGCTATACATTTGAAAAGAATACTGTCTAATTTAACTCTAAGGGTGTGACAAAAATAGCTTCTGAAAATTGCAGCTGTATGATTCTTGCAATTAAACTGTCAATGAAATAACAGCAGTTTATGTAGAAGGTAGTCTGCTTGTGCTGCAGCTGGAACCAATCCCCACTTTGTCACATTTAAAATCAGCCGAGCTGCACATCAATCAGCACAAAAACTCATCGATACATTAGGCTATCTTTTACACAACGCTGTCCACATTTAAGTAATGATCGATGGTATTCAGTGTGCTGAGAAATTAAAACACAGACAGAGATGGTTTGATACACTTGGATCAGGATTACACTTTGAACAATCAGGACATTTGTAAAGTGGGAACACATAAAACATTGTTCATTGGGAACAGACACTGAGAACGCTGGAGAAACTCAGCAGCTCTGGCAGCACATGTGAACAGAGAAACAAGAGTCAATGTTCAAGTCCAATATGACTTCTTCAGAATAAATTCTTCAGAATTTTGTCTTTGTTAGTTCATTAGGAGTTGGCTTGTTGGAATTACAAGGTGCAGAGATGCACTGGTGGTGTGTTACAGTGCTTTCAGGGGATCCCCAGTTACTGTCACTACATTCACGTTTACATGCATGTAAAGTATGGAAGTATGGATTGTGACATTGGAGACCTCAACACTTTTTCCATCACAAGACTGACATGGAATCTCTCCCATTCTTACTGCGTGCCATTGGTGTGTGTTGGTAGGATTTGCAGGTTGATAGAAAACTTGTTTGGCCATGTTATAAACACACCATCCTTAACCATCCTAGAGTTGGATTCAAACTCAGCGTTCATTACTCAGAGGCTAGGATACTACACACTGTACCATGGAGAGATGTAGCTAGAGCCATAGAGTCATTGAGTCATACAGTCATATAGCATGGAAACAGGCCCTTTCGTCCAAATAGTCACACTGACCATGTTCCCAAACTAAACTATTCCCACTTGCCAATATCAGATATACTGAACAGAAAAAAGGTCTTCCAGGATGGTCCAGTGTGTAAGTGCATTTATCTATCAAATAGCTCTTTGCATGTAAATTAGCAGAGTGTTTTAGTGTTTCATTGAGGATTAAGGTTTACTTTTCAACATCGATCCGCTCAAATACTTTCTCTCGTTTGACCACGTTTTTTGATATGATTTGGTTTATTCCTGTCACATGTACCTAGGTACAGTGAAAAGTTTTGTTTTACATGCAGTACAGGCAGATCCTACCATAAAAAACGCATTAGGGTAATTGAACAGAGCGAAGAATACAATGTTACGGCTGCAGAGAAGGTACACAATGAGACATCGATGTTAAATTTAAAAATGTGAGAGGTCCATTTAGCAGTCTGATAACAGCGGGGAAGAAGCTGTTCTTGAATCCGTTGGTGCGTGTATTCAAGCTTCTGTCTCTTCTGCCCGATGGAAGAGGTGGAAGAGAGGATAATTGGGTTGGTAGACGTGTTTGATTATATTGGCTGCCTGACCCTCAGCAAAACCTTTGATCTTGTCCACTTCCCAGTCCATAGAAGCTAAATCAATAGTGCTTTATTCTATAATGTCCGCAAGTAGCCATTTTTGCTGAGTTTGCCAATAATCTTTCTTCTGGATGTCTTTTCTCTTAAGCTTGGAAACTGGAGGACATTCCAAAACTAAATGCTGTAAATAATAGCTAATGACTAAAAATAAATCAGGAATTTAGGATAAACTCCTTTACTCCTCCAGAGTGCAGTAAGAATGTGGAACTTGCTACCACCAAGAACAACTAGCACAGATGGGAAGCCAGGTAAACATGAGGGCAAAAGGAAGAGAGGGTTATGTTGATAGAGTTTGCTGATGTATGGTGGGAGCAGGATTGTGTAGAACATGAACAGTTGTATCGATCAGTTAAGCCAAATGTTTCCGTATTCTAAATTCCATGTCATTCTCTAAGAGTCACACCAAGCCCCTTGTTGCTATATCAGATTGCATTGACCCAGAATATTTTTGGAAAATAATTCAATTGTTTCTTTTACTGTTACCAATCATGGGGTAAAAATTAACCTTAAGTATTTAAATAGTGAGCAGTAGATCAGTCCAGATTGCAAATAGGCCTGTGTTGCAGGGTGAGAGTTTTAAAGATACAAATATCTCATAAATGAGTAGCATTATGCAAGAGAAGGATGCACATCATACAGGCTATGATTACTTAAAATAAAATTAGCACTCACCATCATTACGTGTTTAAAATTTCTTATGTTGGTAATCTCTTTTTGCTCTTCCTCTTCATCCTGAGCATCATATCCTTCGTCCAGGTTTCCTTCGGTCTCCAGTGCCTCATCCAGGATATTCGTCATTCGACCAATCAGCTGTTCTAATGGTGGGCTGAGTTCCCGTTCTTCATTATCCTTCAGGCCCCAGTCCAAGGCTTTGTAAACAAGAATTCCCACAGATTCGATCACCTGTGTGGATGACACCAAACAGCCACGTTATTAAGATGACAAGCAAACTTTTGAAAATTCCAGAACAAACATTAGGCCATTCATGCCTTCGAGACGGTTCCAAAATTCAAATCAGTGAACTATACTACAGCTCCATCAACCTGCTTTTGTTCAGTGTTCCTTAATGCGCATGAGTAACAAAAATCTATCAACCGAGTTCTGAAATTTTCAACTGACCTTCAGCCTCCCCTTTTATGGGGAGACAGTTCCACATTTCTACTATTCGGAGTGTCGTACTTTCTGATATCGCTCTAACTTGTAGGTCACACCTCCTACTGTCCATGTCAGAGCAAATAGTTTCCCTTCATCTAACTTATTAACATATTTAGTTATCTCAAACACCTCAATTAGGTCATTCCTTTATCTTCTACACTCAAGGGAGTACATGTCTGGTCTTTGAAACATGCCTTAGACTTTCTGACCACAGACTCTGTCTCAAAATGTGGTTGGCCGAGTACTTATGAAACCAACAAGTTGGATTTCCTGCCTATTCTGTCTTCCAGCTTTTTGTTTGGTTCCCTCAACATTCACTCCCTCCGCCACTGATGCAGTAGTGTGCACTATCTATAAGGTTCACTGCACCAATTCACTCCCTCGATGGTACCTTCCAAACCCATGATGACTACCATTGAGAAGAGTAAGGGCAGATATATGGGAACACCACCAAATGCAAGTTCCCCTTCGTGCCGTACACCCTCCTGACTTGGAAATATATCACTGGGTCAAAATGCTGGAACTTCGTCCCTAAAGGCACTGTGCATATACCTACACCAGGCAGAAGAAGGCAACAACTACATTCTAGGAACAAATTATAACTTCTCATTGGATAACCCTCAAAAATCTGCAGTTACAAACATTCAATTAATTGTTCACAACTGCACGGTGAAAACAGAATGATCACAGTCCCCTCCACCCCCAATCATGCCCAGATTCTTCCCTCTTCTCCCCATCTCCACTGACAACCAGGGACTGTTTGTAAAGGTTCATGACTGTGGCCTCCAGTCAGTAGTTGCCCATATCTACTCCTCAGATGCTCCTGCTAAGCACTTTTGACATGGGAGTCTACTGCTGGATATCCCCCTTCAGCAAATGAAGAGGTGTCTTCTGACAGATAGAGTCGATGGTAGTTGTCTTTTCCCCAGGATGGGGGATTTAGAGACTAGGGGGTACATTTTTAATGTGAGAGGAGAGAGATCTAAAAAAGACATGAGGGGCAATTTTTTTTTACACAGAGGGTGGTTTGCATGTGGAATGAACTTCCTGAGGAGGTGGTGAATGTGGGTACTAATACAACATTTAATAGACATTTGGATAAGTACAGGAATAGGAAAGGTTTGGAGGGATTTAGGCCAGGAGCAGGCAGGTGGGATTAGTACAGTTTGGGATTATGTTCGGCATGGACTGGTTGGACCAATGGGTCTGTTTCCGTGCTGTATGACTCTATGACACTATATTGTTGGAGGTCAGCAGGAGTGCCGAGCAACATGCAGGCAAGCGCTTTAGGGAGGGTTTTAATTTTTTTTAAGGCATCCTTTCAGAGTCTCCCTGAAAGGGCAGTGGATAAAATAGGTTGAAGGATGAGGGGAAAGTAAAGTGAAGATCAAGTTACACTACAGACTCTGCTGCCTTCACAGACTTTCAGAATTATTGCATTCTAAAGGATTCATTTGTCACCTGACAGAATAAATACCAGTTTCCCCACAGTGTTTACCAGACTAAATGAAACAGAACTACATGTAACACATGACACTGTCAGACAGCCTACAGTCAAATACTAGAACTATATTAATACACTGAATAGGTTGTTTGTAAGAATTGCAACGGGACTGGTGAATAGTGGTTCCTCTGTAAGTTGCAAGTACTTTCCAATATGAAGAGACTGGTGTTTATAAAGCACTAATGGTATATCTCCAAAGGAGATTGGAAACCAATGAAGCATTTTTAACATGTAGTCACTGATGTAATTAAGCAATTTGTGCACAGCATGATCCCAGAAACAGTAATGAGACAACGACAAGATATTTGGATTTCAAGTGGCGTTGTTTGAGAGATACATTTTTGCCAGGATGTTGGTGATAACTCTCCTGCATGTCTTCAAACTAATGTTTGTTCATGTCCATGAGAGAGAGCAGGTGGAGCCCCAGTTTAACATCTGATCCAAAAGCAAAAACAGGAGGTCAGTGATCCAGACAGTGTTGGTAGCATTGGGGAAGGTCATTCAAGCTGCTTACCCCACCACAGTGAATAGATATTACTTGGATGGCTGCCCTCACAAAAGCACGCTTAGGAGGTACTGGAAGACCTACCTATGAGATTCAACATTATGTGTGGGGTCATGTGGTGTGTTTATTAACACTCGACAGGAGAGTGCAATTATCTCAAGGGTGCTGAACAGCCTGGTCTCCACAAAGTGAGGACTGTGTTCATGCATTTTACAGATTTGGTAGAAACTCAAAAACGGCTGCAATGCAGGTTCTAGGCTGGAGGGAAAGATATTAAACTCTGAAAGAGTTAACGCTGAGGAGTGCATTAAGCACTGCGTAATATAATCATGTCATATGGACTCAGGCAAGGACTTTGAAGGAAAACCAGCAAACATCAAGGTCTCCTCACAGTCTCTGTAACAATGCCCATCATACCAATGTATCTTGTACCTGACTGCCATCTAGCAACAAACTGCATGTTGTTTTAGAAAAGAGCCTCCTTCTGTTGGACTGCCAAGTCTACCACACAAAACCAAGTAGGCCCTGAAGATCCCAAACTAAAAGGAGGGACTTAAAGGATTCTCACGTGTGGTGGTAGTGTCCCCGTTTCTAGGCCTTGAAGGTCTGGGTTCAAGTCCCCACCTATCCCAGAGATATACAATGACATATCCAAACAGACTGATTCAAAATACACAAGAGGAGGATGGTGGCAACAAACTTACTTTATGATGACCAATAATCGAGAGACCTCACACAATGTGATGAGGATTCATCATACAACATCCACCTTACATACAGGGTGAAGATTCATGAGGACGTGGGTTTTCCCATGGATCAGTGGGGGTGAAGAGCCCCAAACTTTCACCAGTGGAATATAAACTGGATTGTCAAATGCAGAACACTTTTATGTCTACACACAGCCCAGTGATCAATTTAATGTGTTGGCTCATGCAGAAGGTAAGGAGGCATGGGATAGGGGGAAATGTGGCAGATTGTCTTCTAAGGGTCAGCCAATTCTGAATCCAAAGGGTGGTAGTGGACGGAAAATGTTCAACATGGTGCTCAGTTATGAGTGGTGTACCACAAGGATCTGTTCTGGGTCCTCTTCTATTTGTGATTTTTGTAAATGATTTGGATGAAGGAGTGGAAGGCAAGTTTGCAGACGATACGAAGGTGGGTCACGTTGTGGACGGTGCGGAGGGCTGTTCTAGGTTACAAAGGGACATTGATAGGATGCAGAGCTGGGCTGAGAAGTGACAGATGGAGTTTAACCCTGAAAAGTGTGAGGTGATTCATTTTGGAAGGACAAACTTGAAAGCAGAATACAGGGTTAACGGAAAGATTCTTGGCAGAATGGAGGAGCAGAGGGATCTTGGGGTTCATGTTCACAGTTCCCTGAAAGCTGCCACCCAGTTTTATAGAGTTGTTAAGAAGGCGTATGGTGTGTTAGCTTTCATTAATAGAGGGATTGAGTTCAAGAGCCGTGAAGTTATGCTCCAGCTATACAAAACCCTGGTTCGGCCACATCCGGAGTATTGTGTCCAGTTCTGGTCACCTCATTACAGGAAAGATGTGGAAGCGTTGGAAAAGGTGCAGAGGAGATTTACCAGGATGTTGCCTGGAATCGAGGGAAGGTCTTACGAGGAAAGGTTGAGAGAGCTAGGGCTTTTCTCTTTAGAATGACGAAGGATGAGAGGTGACTTGATAGAGGTGTACAAAATGATCAGAGGTATAGATAGAGTAGACAGCCAGAGACTTTTTCCTAGGGTGGAGGTAGCTTTTACGAGGGGACGTAGTTTTAAAGTGAAAGGAGGTAGATATAGGGGAGACGTCAGAGGTAGGTTCTTTACGCAGAGTGGTAGGGGCGTGGAATGCATTGCCGGAGAGGGTAGTGGAGTCGGCCTCATTAGGAGCATTTAAGCGGCTATTAGATAGGCATATGGATGATAGTATAAGGTAGCGGTGGAGGTTAGATAGACATTAGGTTTCGGGATAACATCATGGGCCGAAGGGCCTGTAGTGTGCTGTACTGTTCTATGTTCTAAGTTCTAAGTTCTATTCATTTTCTGGAAGTGGGCATCACTGGCATTTAATGTCCATCTCTAATTGCCCTGGAGAAAGTACTGGTGAGCTGTCTTTTTGAGCTGCCAGAATTGTTAAGGTTAAACAGGACTTTGATCCTGTATCAATGAAAGAACGATGATATAGTTCCAAGTCAGGACGGTGTACAGGTTGGAGGGCAGCTTGCAGGGCCTGGAGATGTTGCTGCTATTGTTGGATTGCCTTTTAAATAAATTTATCCAACTTGGTCTGATTGTATTCGACTCAAAAGGCTGTTAAAATTGTGACGTCAGGCATATATTTTATTGATTTATAAAAATTTTTACAGCATTTTATTGGCATTTTTAATAGTACAATACAGTTTTAAACAGTATCCTGTGATCATGGATTTACTGTCTGACATAAAAGAAGCCCTCCCCTCAAAGCCCACTTACCCCAGTACTGTCTTATAGAAAACACATTAAGTAGAAATGCATTTGAAAATCATTAAATAATGCATTAAACCTTCTGCAATTCCTTTGCCATTTTGAAATGGAGCTATGGGGTTTGTTTATTTTGGACTATTCAGCTCGATTTGAATACGCTTGGGTACCATAATCAACAAGTTTCAAATTCATTAGTAGTTTTGCCAATAATGTCACTAATTTATTGTTTTTTAAACCAACTACACAATGAAAAGTGTGACATATTTCGTGC